TCCCAGAGTGCTAGGATTACAGGCATGAGCCACCTCACCTGGCCCCAAAAGGAAACTTTTAATAATAAAATCTTTATAGTCTTATTTTTTGCCAAAGCTTACCCTGTATTATTTATTTTTAATTGCATTCATTGTCAACATTATTTACTTTATATTTTATATTTCCTGTTATTCTTGCCTGTAGCTGATTCAGTTAATATAAAAATTCTGAATGCTGGTGCCTGGTCAAGAAGTTCTGAGAAAGTCTTTGTCTCACTTCCTACTGAACTGGAGGACTTGATACCTGAAGTAGAAGAATTCTACAAAAAAAATCATAGTGGTAGAAAATTACATTGGCATCATCTCATGTCAAATGGAATTGTAAGTAGATGGTGTGTTAGTTCAGCTATTGGTTTGAGTGATTATTAGCAGGACTCCAAATAAGAGTTACTTAAACAAAATAGATTTTGCCACTCTCACATGTAAAAATTTGAGCAGGAATAGTCAATCTGTTCTGTGAAGTTGTTGGGAACATAGGTTTCTGGCTATGCAATCATGGTTAATGTATTGCCCTTGTCTGTAGAATCCAGTATGATCCCTGCTGTGTCATTCTTCCTGCCAAAAGGAAGGAAAGGAAGGAAGAGGGTAGCATGCATCTTCCTTTAAAGGCAACTTCTAGAACTTTCCCCCACCACTTCCATTGGCCGGAACTCAGTCAAATGGCTACATTTTGTTACAGGGAAAGCTGGTAGATGAGCTTGTATTCTGAGTAGTCATTAAGGTCTGCTAAAATTTTTATTACTATGAAAGAAGAGATAGAATCAATATTGGAAGACAACTAGCAGTCTTTTTCACATATTACCTTATGTCATAGATACTATATTAGATGGTAATCATCATGAAGAGATTCTCAATTATTAAAAACCTATTTTATCTATTGTAGATAACATTTAAGAATGAAGTAGGTCAATATGATTTGGAGGTAACCACGTTTCAGCTGGCTGTGTTGTTTGCATGGAACCAAAGACCTAGAGAGAAAATCAGCTTTGAAAATCTGAAACTTGCAACTGAACTCCCTGATGCTGAGCTCCGAAGGACTTTATGGGTTGGTTGGTTTGTTTTATGTTTTTTGTTTTTAAAATCGTATCCTCTCACATAGGCAGGAAATACGTGATTGGCTTGTAATAAATTTTTGAATTCATAACAGTCTCAAAATGACTTATAACCAAGAAGAATACACTACTGAGGTACTTATGGAAAAAAGAAATTGAAAATAGACAAGTTACCAAGACAAAGAAAGGACCCCCCCAAAAAAGGAGAGAAAGGCTGACTTAGTATTTAGATGTCACCTGTAAGGAATGTGACCAAAGACATGTATTTAATTTTTATACTGAGATGTGTTCAAAAATTTTATGATGACCAAAAATCTAAGAGTTAGAAAATTTTGGCTTCCTACTCATAATTACATTTTAACTCTACTCCATAGACTTCTTAAAAGCTCAAAAATAAATTACTACCTATGGAGGAAATAGTCCTGTGTGACCAATTGCAATTTCTTGTCTTATTGTAAAGATAGCATTTATTGCTTCCCCACAACCAATTCTTTTCTCCTCCCCCTCCTCCTCTTTCTTCAGTGTGCATTTATATTGTTATAGTCACAGAAGTACCTAATAAATATTCTGAATTTGTGTTTATAATTCTTTCTTGCCTATGTAATGTTGGACAATTAATATTAGCATCCCAGACTGTTTACCGATGCTAATTGTTTTCTCTTTGTTCTCAGTCTTTAGTAGCTTTCCCAAAGCTCAAACGGCAAGTTTTATTGTATGAACCTCAAGTTAACTCACCCAAAGACTTTACAGAAGGTACCCTCTTTTCGGTGAACCAGGAGTTCAGTTTAATGTAAGCTTTGTGTTGATTGATCTAAAATAAAAATACCTTGTTTGAATTTTAGTGCTTTGTTTTTGGCAAAACAATGACTTTCCTTACATGGTATTTAAAATATAACTGTATACTGTCATCACTCTAAATTTTGTCATTTAGTTGTTTATTGAAAATATTAATGAATTCGAGATGTTTACTTCTTCATCATATTTTTCACGGATACATTTTTTGGTATCTGACATACTGTATTGCTTTCCATTTTTAAAGTAAACATCCTTTCCACTGAACTTTATCCAGGCAAAAGCATTTTTTTCTTAAGATCCAGGTAGATGATAATGCTGAATCATACCTCATATATCTTCCATTAGCTAATGACTTTCATGGCAATGTAAATTATATTTAGTTATTACAGGGAGTATAGTTACTTAAATTTTGTTAATAGAGGCTGTATCATGTTTAAAGGAAATTATAGAGTTTATTTTAAAGCTGTATGTTGATTATTTGTCACTTTTCATTTAAACAGTTCTGGATATTAATTTTTAGAATATTTCTAAATCTTTTTTCTCAGACATTGTATTAATAACGTGATATTTAAAGCCCTTTCACTGTAAAATACTTGATTCTTTTTTTTATAGAAAAAATGCAAAAGTTCAGAAAAGGGGTAAAATCAACTTGATTGGACGCTTGCAGCTCACTACAGAAAGGATGAGAGAAGAAGAGAATGAAGGAATAGTTCAGCTAAGAATATTAAGAACCCAGGTTTGTAATACTAACAGAATGTCTGAATTTTGAAAAAACTTGGGGTTTTTTTTCCTGAGCCTTCTTTGAATTTAAAAGTATA